ACACACATGCGTTTGTCTTGTCGCAAATGTATACGGAGGCGATCCAAGTATTAATAGATTGAGGATCTCGAAATACTTAGCTCTTTACTCTGTTGGCAGAAGGCGGTAAATAATGCTTAGATTATGAAAAAGAATTTCAGAGGTATTCTCCCTCGGCTATTTGAAGTCATTCAGTAAGGTTTTGTTCACTAATACTGAACTCGTTATCTAAGTTTTTTATATTATCCTTCCAGTCTTTGATTAAGGCTTTCCTTTATTCTGGTCTAGCGTTTCTTCCGGCGTTTGTATAAAGTTCGTTTATTTGTTTGAAGAAGAAAAAATAACCCTTATCTGATAACTTCACAAACGTTCAAAAAATTGCATACTGTCATCTCATATTAAAAGCTGCGTAAATGGAGAGCAAAGCATTATAGTATGTCCAACACTTCAATTATTAAAGATATGTTCATTTTCCTGGAGATTTTTAGACTTGAGATGAGAAGTACTTTGAGAATGGATGTTTCTTTATATATAATGCTCTAAATTTTCATTATTACTTTTTCCGAAACATTCGCAAAAATAGGATAACGGTCTCACAGTACTAACTCACCAGCGATTTGTGTCATTTGGCTAGGGCGGATCCAGAGAAGTCTTCCAAAGGGAGACTTTTCTGAGGAACTCGTATTCTGATTTGACGGCCGTGGTAATTAAACAATGGATAAAAGTACCAATAAAACGAATGCGGGAGACAATCTCAAAATCAAATATTAATTACATTAATAACTTTTTATTTAATTCAGAACTCACGGAGATATTACCCCCATTTCAGCCTGGGTAGCCGTCGCCTTATGAACTTCAATCGATCTGCGACCTGTTGCTGGTAGGGTGTGTGCGAGGGCAAGCCAGTTGGCAACTATGCTTGGCGTCACTTCCGGCGCCGCACCCCTTCGCCTCTTCGTGCCCTCGACCCCCCTTTTGCAGCCCCCCCCCCTCGCCCAAGGCAGTTGTGAGTACACGCGATAACTCAGCACTCGACGCAAATGCAGCTTCAGTAATCTCCATCAACATTCCGAGCTCCTCGTGTATTGCCTCCAGCACTCAAGTTACGCCTATATACTCTCAAGGATTTTTGGGAAGATATTGAATCCAGGGACGTGGTTCTCGTCTCGTATAGTTCTGATAGGATATTTTATCATATTTTCATATTGACAGCAAATATATTTTATGTAGGGTTAATATTAGGATTTGCGCAATTTCCACTTACTCTGCAAATTTATGTTGAGTGGAATGTGCATACGAAATACGTAAGATTAAAAATTCCTATCTCTTGTTGTTTGTAAGCGGTTTTAAAAATAGAAACTTGAGTAAATTAATAAAAATGATTTAAATTGTGACGTAGGTTTCCGAGAAATATTAATCACACACAATTCTTAAGCCTCTCAAAAGTATTACTGCAATTATATCATTGAAATTTAAACATCGAATCAGTAATGCCACACGTGAAATCATGCTGACGTACTCTTTACGCAGACATTTTAAAACACCTTAACATGTTTAACATTGAGCTACCAAAAGTTCCTCTTGTAGATATGTCTGGGCGTTTTTAGCATCTGGTACTAAGGCACTTCCATTCTGTTTATTAGTGCTTTATTATTTTCATTGTTCACATGACTAGCTTGCGATGACCGATTAGCTACTACATCCTCTGCCTGCGGCGTTTTTTCGCGTCTCGCTTCCCCGTCGCATGACATGACATGACATGACATGACACGACACAGTCCGCCAGTTTTGCCAACGCTCGCATTGCCGATCGGCGGCTTGTTCTCGATCAAGGCTCTCCTGGGTTGGTAGCGCCATTGCGTCAACGCGCCGAGTCTAGTCGCGCCGCGCCGCAGCCCCGTGATAAGGCGGAAATCGGCCGCGCTGGGTTTTATAAACAACGCCGGATGTGGTCCGCTCCTTCCGGTGCGCGCCGATAAACCTCTCTGCGCGACGCTGACAAAAGTTTTCCACTCGCCGCGCGATCGGCCCCTCGCCGTTGGCAGGCCTGGCCACGCACGCTCGGCGCCCGGGAGAGGGCGAGATCTTGGATTTGAGGCACTCGCGTGCGCCGAAATCCCTTTCTCGTTTTCTGCCGCTGTCTCGAGGAGAATGGCTGCTCTGATCGGTAGTTTTCAGCCGTTTGCTCCGGCGAATGCCGGAGTAGTACCACCATCGGGCCACGGACAGCTATCTTTCCTTCCCCTTCCTGCTCAACCGTTACTTACTCACACGTTCACTTGCATACACTGTACAATCACACACGTTAGGAGATCATTCGGGAGCTTGGGGCTTGTCCCGGTTGGGGCGAAAGCCCGCTAGTCGAAGTGTAGGTCGCCACCGGATCTCGCCATTCAGCGGGGGATGACCAGAATAAAACACGCAATTCGCTTTCGAGACTCATGACCATATAAGCCCGAGAACATCAATCAAGCGTTCTTGCTCGGCTTTGTGGGAGGGGGAGTTTCAATGCTGATTAGAGAGAAGAGGTGGCGGTCTAATAACAGTTCGTGGTGAGCAAACGTCACAGTCAACGGATTGCCGTCGTGACTGTTATATTTTGCAAACCGAACGGTCTATTCATAATCAGACTCCTATACTCACGAAAATGTCCAAACGTTAATATACTTACTCAGCCTACGGGCAAGTATAATAATAAGCAAATAGCAAAATAAATAAAATAAATAAATAAATAGCAAAATAAGACGGGCCATTTTCTCGTTTTATTGATGCTTGATTTACACACCTCAAAATATAAAAGTAAGTCAGATTACATTTTTATTGTGGAACAACCAGAAATCTTCTTTTGGGGTCGGACTTGTAATAGTAGTGTCCAGACGACTTGACGTTTCTTCTACAGACTTTTTTCATTTAGGCTTAGTTTCGAATTTATTTTTATTTAATTATTTGTAGTTTTGTATAAAGTATTCAATTGATATATTCAATTTGTTAGCATGGAAGGTAGTTAAAATGATATTCGTGGATTTGTGCCGCCCCCCCTCCCCCTGACACGACATTACTAGTGAAAATCAAACTTGAGGTAATAAAAAAATACCCTTCCTTTTGGAAAAGATTCATTTCATTATTGTCATGAGTTTCATTGATTTGTATGAATGCAATTACATACATTTAAAGAGATTACTTACAAGCACAAGTCTGTATAATATCCACATAAAACAGATATTTAGGAGTACACGTCCTTTCCTTTTTGAATTTTACAATTGTGTCTACACTTATCCAGATATCCTGGCGTTGAATCAATGTCAGGGGAAAAAAATAATCAGTATTGATTGTTACTGTAGTAATGCACACAATTCTGCAAAATTCAACGAGATAACGAAAAAGATTGCAATATTACATTTACTTCTCAATCCCTTTTCTGGGTTTGTATTACACTTGTTGCGTTGGCCCCGATATTATTACATTGAATATTTTCTACAGTGCTTTTGAAACAACTACGATAATAAAAACAGTTCTTAAATCGTGACTCAATTTTAAAAACAGCTTCAATTTGCAGCTTTGTCCCAGAGTTGTCACTACTGATAAGTGTGTGAGTCAAATTCAGACCCAATAATTACTTCTCCAAACTTACATCACTCCACGAATTCATATGTGGTTACAACCCAAGAAGATTTCTCTAGTGTTTAAACTTACGTTTTGTAAAAAAAATAGTTTCATAATTTAATACCTATTTTAGAAACAAAAAGCATTGCATTGTATTAAATAAGTAACGCAATGTGGACTCATTTGAAAAACTCATATAGTTCAGTTCGTAACTTATGTTGCAAAACATATTGATATCAGATTGAACACGTGTTCAAACATCCTGTATTTTAGTTTTCCTATTCCTTATTCAGTCCCGCCATATTTCATGAGATAAAATAAGAATCTTAGAGATCGTATCATTGTAACATTCAAGTTCTGCTTTCTGTTTTATGCGATTGTGAAACAATTAATTGGTAGTACAAATATGAAGATCATTCCAAAATATCGATATTAGTTTTTTTCGTTTAAGCTGAATTAATACGAAGTTTATTATTCACATTTTACTTAAAAATCAATAGTGTTACCTGGCATCGGTCGTCCAAGTCAAATCAATGACTATGTGCCTGATAGCTTAATAAAAGCTTCCCGTTTGCAATTGATCAATAAATTAATTTCGTAACATTTTGGAAAATTATTTACTGTTATTTGACATCGATGTCCATAATTCAATAACAAGTGATATCAATTCAAATTTTAACCGTCGTGTAATTGTCTTCATTAGAATAAGGATACTGACCTGTGATAAGGACGGTGATATTTTTGAGATGATCATAGGCTCCACACATTCGGTTTCCGGCGACCAACGGGCCATCGCTCGCTGTATCCCGAGTAGTGTGGATGGGTGGCTTGCTATTCGCCGAGCGCCGAACGTTTGGTATTCGCCCTATCCCCAGCGTATCGGTCACATCAATGGGAGCATTTAACGAGCTACTGTCCGCCCAATCCCGAACAGCTGATATGTTCGGCGAATGTTCGCTCCCTTAGATGTGTCCTAAACACCGACACGCGGTGGGTAGAACGAATACCGAATATTGGGCGCTCGGCAAATCGCAAGCAACCCGACCACACTACTCGGGATTTACCGAACACCGCATGTGTGCAGCCGCCTTACTCCGAGTGACCGCGAGGGAAGTGGGGCGGGCCGGCGCGAGAGGTTTCGGGGGGCGCGTGCGTGGTGTGCTCGAGGGGGTCCGGCGGGACACCCCGCGACGTCGCGTGCCGCCACTGGGCGAAGGTCAGGCAGCATCCTGCGCTTCGCGGCCCCCTCAGCCCTGGGACCCCGTCTGCCCCGCGACCCCGGGGCTACCCAGCATGGACATCCGCCTCCTCGCCAGCCAACACACCGCACAATACACACGCCGCAACGTTCGCCTTTTTTTCCTTTCCATTCACGCGACGCCCGCCTACCCTGCCTCGCCCACCCGCCCCATCCCGCTCGCCCGCCCACAAGTCTCCGGCCCGGAACCGCTGCGGGTCCGCCTTGAGTAAGTGCCCACGAACCGTCGCGCCGCGACGCGCGCTTACTCACACTCGCTTGCGCCTCGCCTTCTCGGCCGGACGGGGAAAAAAAGACGCGCGTCCTGCACAATGCTGTGAGGCGGCGCGCGCGATGCCGCTCGGCAGAGGCGCCTTCACGCACGCCCTCGCGCTCGCGTACGCAGGTGAGAGCGAGCGGCGGACGCGCCTGCTGTGCCTTTGCGCGGGAGGCAGGGGTGGCGTGTGTGTGTGTTGGGGTCGCTTGCGGGACTGCTGAGATACCGTGCGAGGCCTCGTGCTTGTGGTCCCCTGCACTTGACGTCCCGACGCCGATGGATAACTCGATTCGTCATCGACGATGAGTAGCCCACCCACCACCGCCGGACATGACAATCTAGCGACCAGTGAGTTGGTGCACCGGATGAATCCAGCGTGGCTGTCGAGATGTTTTGCCCTTGTAAATCATCGCGTTTCGATGTATGGGATTTTACTGTGTGTCCGTTGTGAATAACCGATACAATGGAACGGGTGTGTTTCGCTTGTCTCATCATACATCGGGACCTGGTTGATAAGAATATGCCTTCAAACTTGGCCTCTAGTGCGCCAATATAGTTGCATGCTAATGAATTACAATTTTTATAATACAGTCTCGAAATTGTTTGAGGAAATAAATGCCCGTTGTCTGGTAACACAGTATATCACCGGTGACACTGCTCATTAATCCCAGAGACTTAAATGAAATCAGAGAAACATTTTTGATATCCCTTCCCTGTCACTCTTCACGTAGTTTCTTCCTTATATATTGACATAGAATGAATTGGTAACTTGGTTCGTGTGGATCCTGTGTGTTTGTGTGTGTGTTGCCTTGGCTGACGGCGCGCGCGTGTCGCTGTTGCAGGCGGGTACAGCCACCTCCGGAGCCCCGTCTGCACGCCGCGCGATGGCGACTGCGGCCGTGAAGAGGGCTCGCCCCCGCCGCCGCCGCCCGGCTTCATCCCGCTGAGGAGCCCGCTCTACACGCAACTCAAGCAGGAAGGTGAGCACTCTGCACAGCGAAGCAGCGCTGGAAGGATCCCTGCTAGGTTGTATGCAGTTTAGGGCAGTAGCGATGTAAAAACTGCTATTTATTTGCGCATAAACAAATATTGACATCCAGCTGTAGCGCCGTCAACAACTTGGTAAAAGCTTTATGGATTGAACTGGCTAGGTGCAAATAAAAAGTCCACCCTCTAACTAAATGTGATACAGGGTGCCGTCAAAATAGGCAGTAAAGGATGGGGCCTGTGTCAGCTGAGCTTGTAGAAGCCCTTTGGAAGTAGCTTCATATTCTGCTTTTTCAGTTTCCAATACGAAGCTAATATATTTTTACATATTTTATTAAGAGTTATGTCAGTATTAAATGTATTAAAATTTTGTTTTCAAGAGATGCACCTGTTAGATGTTCTAGTAGAAATTATATTTATTGCCTAAATTTAGAATCGCGATTAAAATGTTTTCGTTATTTTACCGTATGTTTTGCGTTAAACTGTCTTTCAAAATATCAAAAACTTAAAATTATAAGCTGCATTACATTTATGATAAATAAAATGTGTTTACAGTTTTTAACGTTAATTTTTGTTGTTGTTGTTGTTGTGAATGAAGATCGTGAAGTATTCAAATGTGTAAAAGTGTATTCATATTTGCCGCGTCAACTTACAGCTCATGGGTCACTTATTAGTCATCACATGTGTCGGATGTGACCATTCTTTCAAAACAAATGGAAAAGATACGACGTTGTCACTTAGATCTGCAGATGATGAAATTGGTTGTCGCAATGACGTCATACGTTGTTGCATGTAAGGCTGAAGGAAATCGCAAATGCCGCGTTTGCATGCCGTTCTTGTAAATACTTGTGTAATCATTTAAAAAGCTTGTAGACCCTTCAAAATCTTTCAGATTGCGAAAAGGAAATCTCGTTTTCTTTATGGTTTTATTTTATGTTTCTACTGGAATGAGTCTATCATATTTTTGCTTCGTATACATTGTAGTCCGTGTAGTAATCTAGTAAAATTACGCTAATAAAAGCGAATACAAGACGAATGCGGTACCACTCCATGCAAAATCCGTGAATCGTATTTCGAATTAAAATATCGTTGACAAACAGATTCTAACAGATTCTAACGTTTTTAAAACCAAGGCACGCTTCTCCATTAGATATGTAAACCATCTTGCAATTTCGGAAAGGCCTTTCGTCTCACAGAGAAGGTTCTCAAAGCAACCAATAGAATCTCTTGCATGTGGTGCTCAAAGCTGAACCTTCTCCCATGCACAGGAAGCGTCTACTCTCAAAGCAGCCGGCCGTCGCGCTTTGAAGTGCACGCCAGGCCCCGCGCGACATGGCCCGGTGGCCTTTGCTGTGCAGGTGGCCGACCGCAGCGGGTCGCCGATTATGCATTTATAAAGAGAGGAGCCAGGAATTCGTGGCTGTGCGTTTGAACAACCGTATGGGAATTTTCTCTTAAAAAAAAAGAACATCAAAAGGGATAATTTTATTAATGTTCAGTTGTTACCGTTGGATTCAGATGTAAGGCAATGGGACGAGCGCAGTAGAAAAGTAATTTTCCTCAGCTTATTTGAAATTTTGTTTCACTAATGCAGAAGACAAATAACATATCTTGGTTTGCTGTGGTGAGCATATAACATTTTATCACTATTAACAACGATTGGGGGTTTGTGTTGCAAAACACTCACGGTTAGCCGGATGTCCTCATCCTTAACATAATGCCATTTAAATTCTTTCATACTCGTATTTTGCTATTGATATATGGAGGGAACTGTATTTCGCCGATTTATGCCCAAGGAAACGGGAATTTACATTGATTAGGTAGTAGAACTTGTGTAAACTGTTTCAAATGATAATTCACTGAAACCTTATTTCTGCACTCTACGATCACCCACCCCATTTGACAGTTGAGGTACCAACATCATTTCTGTGTGGCCGTTTGAATGGCGTCCGCGGTTGTAAGAACTTTGCCTTAAAAATAATGTCCGAAAATTAAATATTGATAAAAAATTCGAACGTTTTGTCGAGATATCAGCGAGCGCTGTTTTATTTGTGTCTTCCAATCGCATTCGTTTATATGCGATTTTCGTAGCATTACTTTGCTTCTATGAACAAAATACTAAACTTTGTAATTAAGTTTTGGTGAGAATCTCTATGAAAATTGGCAAAACGTTTCCTCCGAGAAATGTGAAAGTTCGGCTTTCAATTTATTTTAATTTTCACGTACAGTGTGAAACAGAACATTTGCATTTACCCTACGATGTGATGTCGAGGGTGCGTGCATCGGCGAGCATTAGAAGTATTCAACAACGTAAAGTCGCTCAGTGCGTGTGTTAACGTGCTCGAATCCGGGAGACTGCCGAGCCTGGGGCTCTCCCGTCGGTGTGTGCCTGCCCGCCCACCAGCGGAAGGGTCGCAGGTG